AAGCAACCTTTCCCCTTGACCCCTGGCTCACCGATATTCTTTGCCCGCGAGAACATCAGCGATCTCAGGAAGCCCGGCGGCGCTGTATTTGTTTATCTGGCAAGCGCGACAAACTGCTGGTACTTGTGCAAAAACTCATGTGGTGCAATATCTATATCCCAGCCATCGCTTCGGGGTCGTCTTCTATGTGATACTGCGGTGATATTAGCTGCAATAAGGCCGCGGCAAGCGCCCCCCCGCATCGGCGCGGCTCTTCCCGATGGCGCTCGATGTAGGTGTCGAATATGCCCCAAATCTGCCATCGCCAGCTGAATCGCTCGATCCCTCTCCAGAACTTTAGGTACACATTCCACATCCTCCAATGACGTCCACCATTTGATGGCATCCGCATTCATGCCGCCTTCGCGCGGCTGCGATAAAAGGGCCCCGCGCCCACTCTGCTACGAACATTCCCTGCCGCGCTGCAAAATGTATATATGTTTTGGCCCTCGTCCTGTCGAAGTGAGGCTGTTTTTGATAGTCGCATACGCGCCCAATTGTGTTGCTCCCCCCCCCCCCCCGCCCCCGCCAATTCATGCCATTTCTGACGGTGGTCTGCCGTCTGTTGCCTCCGCGCTGCCTGCAAATTCCTCGTGACGTCTGTCAGCTGCTGGTTGATCTCTGCGTGCTGCTCCCGTATCGCTTCTGATCCTCTCTCTCGCAGTCTCGCCCGCTGTCGCGCAAAATCCGTTCGCTTGTTGCGCTGCTGCTCGCATTCGGGGGAGCGCCTGGGCCTGGGCGGGAATGCGTCTGCAACCGCACCTGGAATGGCCGCTCCGATGTGGCCCCGCACCCCCTGGACGTTGTTGCTCTGCATGGCGTTCTGGTGCGCATCAGCACCATCGCGCAACTTCTTCTGTACTGCCTCAATCACATCCTTCGTTTTGAGTCCCGTCGTCCGCGCTCCCATCAGCATGTCCCTGTTGGCCCGGGGCGATGAGCTGGCCGCTCGGTATACTTTCGTCTCGATGTCTATCTCCTAGTACACTGGCACGTGGTCCTCAAGCGTCGCGCTATGCTGGAGCTGTAGCATTCTCCCCAGCCTGGTAAGTGCGTTCAGCTTTGTGATGCTTCCGAAGGCCGTCATGGGGCGCATGATGTGTTCTACCTTCGACGTCGGCCCTTTTCTGAAAATATGTAAGTCCTGTCCTCCAGCATGTCGGCTCCAAACGCATGTGATGTTCCTCAGCAAACTTTCTTACCTGTCTCGATACATTCGTCTCGTGGGTCGCTTCTATCGTTCCGATGTGTTCGCTGTCTCTCGTGTAGCATAGCCCCGTGGTGTTTGAGCGAATGCCAAATCCACAACTGAAACGCCATGCCACAATACGCATCGTACTGTGTCCGTCCTTTTCGATATGCTTGCTCATCCAGCGCAAAATGCGCACGCGGGCCTCTTTCAGTAGTGCGGGACTTGTGCTCTTCGGCGGGAAGCACACTGGAAATATGCATGTTGACTGCCACTGCGCGAATAGCGACCCTCCCCGGGATTTCGTGTGATCTCGGCGGGGCCGCTGCTTGTTGCACTCCGTGTGCGTACTGGCCTAGCAGGACTGTAGCTCCGCAGCTCTTGTTCACGTGCTTTGATGTCTTCCATCCAAACTACCATACTCTGTGATTCGGCAGTGATACCTGCTGCATGTCGTGTTCTACGTCTGTGTGCCTCTGCGTGCTCGCGACGACGACGAGACTGTACACTGCAAGCTAATATCCTCCAACCCCGTGTGGTCCGCGCTCCCGGGCGTTGTGGTAGACAATCTTCAACACCATCTCTGCGACACCTTTGTGCTTCCCCCACTGCTCGATATTTTCGTGCCCCCAGGCCGCCCTCGGCCCGCGAAGCGCCATGTGCGTGCCCAAAAAGAGTGTGTGGAGACAATGGGTGCTGTTGCTGCCTTGTGCTTGTCTTGAGCAGTCATGGCAAGTGGAGGAGGGGGAGGAGGAGGAGGAGGAGGACGGGGAGGCCCAGTTTGAACCCAAGACTGATCGACGATGATGCAGTCAAGCCTCCCTGCAAGTTCCCTCTTCCCGGGCCATCCGAGGATGAGGAGGAAAGGGAACAGGAGGAGGAGGAGGAGGAGGAGGAGGAGGAGGACAAGGAAGAGGAAGGGGAGGGGGAGGAGAAGGGCCGCCCCCTCCGCCCTGCCTCCTCCTGCGTTCCGCGGAGCACCTGGGTCGCCCAGCTCCGCGCACCTGGCCCCGCGGTGCGCGAGGACCCTTCGCGCCCTCGCGCCGCCCCCCACTGCAGAGGGGCAGCCCTTCCAGCCCAGACCTCGACGCGCGAGTCCTCTTGGGCGCCCGAGTTATCCGGGGTAACTCGGGTCCGGGGTAACTCGGGTTCGGATTCCCGAAAAACGAACCCGAGTTAGCCCTGACCCGAGTTACCCCTGATGATTTTGGGGCTCTGGACGCCCGATGTATCCGGGGTAACTCGGGTCCGGGGTAAATGGGGTTCGGAATCCTGAAAAACGAACCCGAGTTAGCCCTGCCCCGAGTTACCCCTGATGATTCGGGGCTCTGATCCTCTTCCCGCCCTTTGGTGGCCCTCGGGGGTGGCCACGGGACTGAAAAACTGCCGCCAGCACCTCTCGGGGAGGAAGGGCAGGGCTCGAGGGCACGGCCCTCGAGTCCGCGTCGATCCCTCCCCCATGGGTGCGAGGCAGGGAGCTGTCGATGACTACCGCCCGAAAGATCGATCCTCAGGGACCTCGGCAGGCGGGGCCGAAAATGACCCCCCCCCCCCCGCCCCCGGGACCCGAAGATATCCACATCCACCGCTTGCCGAGTTCAACCGAAGATCGGTACGATATTTCTGGCGGTTCGCTATGGAGGAATGCCCCGCCTCCGACTCGAGGATTCAGCTCACCAACTCCAGGGGGCAATGCCAAGGCTCGACTTAAATAGTGTTTTCCGTTTTCGTTTTGTTCTCGTTTTCTCTCGTTCTGTCTTCGTTCCTCCTTTGATGCAAAACGAAACCAAAAGAAAACGGTCCACGAGATCGCCAACACGCTGTTTAGGTCGTGCCCTGGGCAGTGCCACTGTTCAAAGAGGCACGACGGTGTCGAGGGCCAAGAGACCCAAGCGCGCTGACGAGGTGGGTCAGGGCACCGGAGGCTAGGCGGGCTGTTCTTTTAGTCCGGCTCGTGGGCCCGCAGGGCCTCTCGACGCCGTTCCCTGGAACGGGCCTTTCAGATCCCGGATCGTTCCTGAACGGCCCAGGGGGCCGAAAGCTGCCCCAGGAGGCCGAAATTGAACAGAAGGGCGACGCTACATACACAACGAATCAATCGGCGATTCCGGCCCCTCCTTCGGAGGATCGAGTCATCACACACAGTACGTAAGCAAGGCAGGAATCGAGATGATAGCTTGGGCGACGCTGCAAATAAGCTCATCTGGCCAAACGCCAAGGGATCTCGGGAGCGAGCCTGAATGCACACGCACAGCCAGGGACCAAAGGCGAGGGGCAGGGGAAAATGTTGTCCAAAGTGTCCATGTCCCACCTCCTTCCTCTCGCTCTTACTCTTACTCATCCTCCTACCCTGTATCCCCTCTATGTTCGTCCTCATCCTCCTCTTCGCACCTCCCCTCCACTGGACCGGCGTTCAAATTGCCCCTCCTCCTTCTCCTCGTCCTCGCTCCTCCTCCTCCTCCTCCTCCTCCTCCTTCTCCTCCTCCTCCTCGTCCTCATCCTCCTTCTCCTCTTGTCCCTATTCCAAGTGGCCAACGGTCAAACGGTAAACTCTTCCACATTCACCGGTTACTTATAATATTCATCATCCTCATGATCATCTTCCGTCTCCTGTTGCACGACGGAAGAGAGGATGCCGCAGAAGCGGGGGGAAGAGGAGGGAGGGAGGAGGCAAGAGGATGGAGGGAGAGGGATGATGCTGCTGCTGCTGATGATGATGATGATGACGATGATGATGATGGTGTGATATGATGATGATGGTGATGGTGATGATGATGATGATGATGATGATAATGATGATGAGCATGCTGACTATGGATGATGATGATGATGATGATGATGATGATGATGATGATGATGATGATGATGATGATGATGATGATGATGATGATGATGAAGTTGTTGATGATGCTGCTGCTGATGATGTTGATGATGACGATGACGGGAAGGAGGAGGAGGAGGAGGAGGAGGAGGAGGAGCAGGAGGAGGAGGAGCAGGAGGAGGAGGAGGAGAAGGTGCAGGAGAAGAAGAAGGAGGAGGAGGAGGAGAAGAAATGTCATCTTTGCGTAGGGGTCATACTAACCCTTTCTGTACCGTTCCAAATTTACCGGATGCTCCCCGAAGGGAATCCGGGAGGAGGAGGAGGAGGAGGAGGCGGAGGAGGAGGAGGAGGACTGGACTGACGGCCAAACATCACCCTCTTCATTCTCCGCAGGAGGAGAATGAAGAGGAGGAGGAAGAGGAGGAAGAGGAGGAGGATTGGACCGACGGTCAAACATCACCCTCTTCATCCTCCGCAGCATCCTCCTCGCCCCTCCCCGTCCAACATACCCTCCTCCTACAGCCTCCTCGTACAGCCTCCGCCTCCGGCCCCTGCCACCAACGGGCAGATGGTCAGCGCCTCCCTCCTCCTCCTGCCTGATCCTGTCCTCCTTCTCCTTCTCCTCCTCCTCCGCCTCTTCCTCCTCCTCCTCCTCCTCCTCCTCCTCCTTCTCCTTCTCCTCCTCCTCCTCCTCCTCCTCCTCCTCCTCCCGCTCCCCCTCCCCCCCTCTCATTTCTCCTTCTCCTCCCCCCTCCTGCTCCTCCTCATCCCTCCTTCTACCGATCCGCATACTCCCACCCAAGTCGGCCAAAGGGCCTGATCTCTTGATGCTGCACATCATCCTCGTTATCATCTTCCTCATCATCCTCCTCATCGCCCCCTTATCCCTACTCCCTTTCACCGGATGTCAAATGGTTTCCGCTTCCTCCGGCAGCATCCTCCTCATCACTTTTTCCTCTCGCTGTGTCATTTAGAAAACGATTCAACTGGGATGGAACGAGCATACGAGACTCCACCCTGCCAACGCGAAAGTCTCGATATGATTTGCTAGACTCGCTCAGGTCCCTGCGCAGCGCACGCAATGGGCGGCGCTCGAGCACCACCCGTCTTGCCACCTCGTCTGCACCGCTCCTCGCCATGCGCGGGGCTTCTGTCAAGGAACCCAGACACGATCCCCTGCGAGCCAGCAGAGGATAAAAAAGGTAGCTGCACGGAGCAGCTGATGGACTTCACGGCCAACCGGGCCAACCGGAAGAAACGATCGCCGTGGCGCGGTAGATGTTTGCAACTCCGCTGCCAAAATGTGACCGCCCAGACTCCGCGCGGAAGCAGCCCCGTCGAATGTGCGAGAACACTTGCACCAGCTAGCGCCGCAAAAACGCGTCGCAAGCTGTCTTGGCTCAGACTCTGAGCCCCTTAAACATAGCATCAACTGCTCAGCTGCATCAAGAGAGGCTCGTGGGCTGCCACGGCCACTGCGTCAGGAGTGGCTCCCGGGCCGCCACGGCGCGGCTGCCGGTGACACGCCGCATGAAGTCTTTGAAGACGAACCACAGCACCATTAGCATGGCGAAGGCGAAGATGGAGTCCCCAAGGCCACGCGCCAACTTCATCCACTGCACCGCGGGATCGCCATGGAAGTTCTCGCTGCGGGCGTACCAGTAGTCGTACGAGACCGAGAGCCAGAACTGGTAGATGCCAATGGGGAAGATCGACACGAATATCTGGAGGAACATGCCGAGGTTCATGAGCTTGAGGCCCAGGTCCAGCCAGGCGGTGTCCCAGACGGCGCGCGTGTCAGAGAGGCGGAGCACCAGCAGGCTCAGGGCGATCGCCAGCACCCCGTACACGCCCCAGAGGGCGCCGTGGCTGTGCGACAGGGTGAGGTAGCCTCCGATCATGTAGTACTGCGAGATCGGCGGGTTGATTATGAAGCCGAGGAAGCCGGCGCCGACGAGGTTCCAGAACGACACGTAGATGAAGCAGTCGATGATGGGCTTGTAGCTCATGAGCCACTTGAACTCCGGCCGCTTGGCCGCCTGCCCCAGCTGGATGTACTCGCTGGCCTCCATGCCCATGAGGGCCAGGGGGCAGACCTCGAGGCAGGAGAAGCAGGAGCCGATGGCCATGATCATGGACGGGGTGCCCGAGAAGTAGTTGTGGTGGTACATGCCGGGGATGCCACCGAACAGGAAGATGCCGCTGGTGAACAGCGTGACGCCGGCGGCGGCCGAAGGCTGCAGCACGCCGAGCATCACGAAGACCTGGGCCACCACAACCGTGATGAAGATCTCGAACATGCCCTCGACCCACATGTGGACGATCCAGAAACGCCAGTAGTCCATGACGGCCAGGTTGGACTTCGCGTCGTACATCAGGCCCGAGGCCCAAAAGAAGGAAATCAGCACCGCTGCGAGCGTGATGATGACGACGAGGTGCCACTGGCCGCGACCGTTCGCAGTCGAGAAGTTCGCCAAACGAAGCGCGGGATGGATGGCGTTGACCATCAGGAGAAGCCAGAGCATCAGGCCCACGAGAAGGAAGTACTGATAGAAACGGCCCAGCTCCACGTACTCGTAGCCCTGGTGCCCGAAGTACTGGCTCATCAGCAGGGTCTCGAAACTCTGCGTGATGGCCGCGACCTGCCCCGCCATCGAGCCGCCAACGATGACCAGCAGGCAGAGGAAGAGGAAGTCGCAGAGCGGCTTCTGAAGAGGTGGGTCCTCCCTGCGCCCTGCGATGGCCGGGGCCAAGAATAGCCCCGTCGCTAGGAAACTGGTCGCGATGGCGTAAACTGCCGACTGCGTGTGCCAGGTGCGGGCGACCGTGTACGTGATGTTCTGCGTCAACCAACTGGGGAAGCCCATGTCGCCCTCGATCGTGAGGTGGACGGTGTAGACTCCGAGGCAGATCTGGAATCCGCTCAGGAAGAAGACGACGTAGGCCCATTTCACCATGGAGGCCATCGACGGCGTCACCACCAGGTCCTTGAGCGGGTCCTCGCTTGGCGGCGGAAGCGCCCCCTGCTCGCTGTGATGCACCGCGCGCACCCACGCAAGCATACCGATGCCGAAGACCAGCAGGGCAATGGAGGCCAGCGACCACACGATCACCTCTGGCGAAACGGTGTTGCCGACCAGGCGCTCCTGGGGCCAATTGTTCGTGTAGCTGTGGGTCGTACCCGGTCGCTGGGTGACGCACGCCCATGCGGACCAGAACACGAAGCCTGCCATTTGCTCCGCCTTCCGCTCACTGTACAGGGCCACGTCCTTCACCTGGAAGAGCTTGCGCAGCTTCGGCAGGTCCTCCACCTCCGGAGAGCTGGCGGCGCCAGTGAACATGGAAACGTAGAACTTCTTGAGCCTACTCAGCACCTTCGCCCTCTCGTGGCTGATCGTAACCTCGTTCGTCTCCGGGTTGTACGTGTTCCTGCGCACGCGCTCGATGTAGGCCGCCCGCTCGGCGGCATCCGCCCCCTCCAGGCTCATCTCCGCCTCCCTGTGCAGCCAGTCGGCGGACCAGTCCGGAGCCTGCAGGGCGCCGTGCCCCCAGACGCTCCCCACCTGCTGGCCGCCGATGGACTGCCAGATCTGCTGTCCCTCCAGGACGTCCTCGCTCGTCCACAGGACCTCGCCGCCCTTCTCCAGGCGGAAGGTGGGGATCGGGGGCGCGTTGTCGTATATGATCTTACCACTGTAGCCCATGATGGAGAAGCCAGTGACAAAGACGACCGCAACCGCCAGCCATCCTCGGCGGATGCTATAGTATCCGTCCGAGTCGATCTCGGGGCTGCTCTTCTGCTTCGACTGCTTCAGGGTGAGCGACCTGCCAACCATCCTGCGCGAGGAACAAGAAGTTTGGCCTGAAAGGGCCGCACTGCAGGATGAGCCGTGGCCGAACTTGCTTCAGGCAAGGCGGATTGAGCCCAAATGGCCACGGACTTACTCCGTTCGACCGAATAGTAGAGGCCGCCCTCCTCATCTTACTTTATTCCGCTGACTCCCCTTCTTCATACTTGCCCTCGTTCCCCCGCGTCATCTGCAACTCAACAGCTCGGGCTGTATAGCGTCGTCAACGACGTTGACGAAACCAACTCTGAGAGCGTGCTGACTCATCCGCCGACCCTTCGGCGTGTGTGGGACGCTGTCGTCGTCGTCTTCGCCGCCCGTCGCAAGAACATTGAAGAACGAACCAAGACAAGAAACGTCGCAGTTGAGTCGATTCCCTTGCCTTCTTCCCTTCCCTGACGGGGGGGATAAAATGGGGGGGGGTGTACGTGGGCCCCCGGGGCGAGGGGTATACGGGGGGGGGGGTCCCGAGTCAGACTACCGCCCCAGGGGGGTCGCAGCGGGGAGTGGGCACGGAAGGGAGGGAAGGAGAGATTCCCATTGTGGGGGTGCTGCAGCCCTGGGCCCTGCCAAGGGCCCCCCGACCGTGGGCCTGGCCTCGGCCCCGGCGGCCCTGGCACCAGACCCCTGGCAAGGGCCCCGGGCCCCGGCCCAGGCCCCGCGGAGGGGGGGGCCAGGGGCCCGGGGGAGGTCCCGCAAGGTCGGCGGCACCAGCCGTAAGGCCTTCACGGTCTGCTTTCACTCGGGAGCAACATCCACATGTCTGCCGCCACGGCTGCCCCTGGAATTCGTCACGTGCAGGTCTGCACATCGTCATCCATCAAGCCGTCACTGCACACATGTTTCCCGCAATTGCATGGCATCTCAAACATGGGCGTGATGCCAACCAACCCAATTGGTCTTATGAGGGCGCGCTAGTTTCAGCTTCTCACTTGTTAACCTGCGCAACTTGTATGCTGCAACAGGCACCCCTGAACGCCGTCACCTGCAAATATGTACATCAACAATTATCAAGTCGCCAAAGGCATCTGGTATTAGTCGCTGCCTTCCTGAAGAAAAGATGCTCCCCCAAAGTAAAATGGCCTGACGTCAGGAACACGTTGAGTTTGTCAAGTTTGCTAAATGAGCTATAGCTAGATGTCTAAGCTCCCCTACCTGTCAATAAACCCCTTGGGCCTTCAGCGACACGCTGTTCAGACAACTTCGGCCTGCGGGGGGCCCGTAACGACTCGCTGGGACGAAACGCTGGCACTGGAGAGTTGGCCGGGTCCTGTCAACAGCACGACGCCAGAGATCTGGATCCAAGCGGCGGCGTCAAAAAAACGGCGGGAACCCTTGTTCTGATCTCCGCCTCCAGGGGGGCCGTCTTCGGGCCCCAGGGCCATCAGAACACGGCCCGCGAGATAGAACTGGCCCCTGGGGTTGAGGCGAGAGGTCTGGGGGCCACACATGTCGCGAACATGAACGCGACCTGGGAGGCTGAGATTGCGCATGTCCTCGAGCTTGGACTCCGTCGGGTTTGCGTGACACCCAGAGCTGGCAAACCAGCAGAAGAGCACGCGCGAGAGTTCACAAACGTTCTCTGATCATCCACTTACACCTGCTCCTCCTCCCCCTCCTCCCGATTCCGCAGCGGTCGGCTCCTCCGCCGCATCCACGTCCAGCCAATCTCTGCGGCCAGCTCCGCTGAGAGCCACTGTTTGCTGGATTGCGCAGGGCCAAAGGAGGACTCCGACAAAGGGAAACACACAACTTCGTGCTGCACAACCTTGCGCGCAGGCAAGACAAGTTCCTGAATGAAATTACTAGTGCACCGAGGTGCTCAAAACAAACGCCAGCCCAGATCCGCTGTCCTAGGCTGCCCCTGCAGGATAACATCCGAGACGCACTCCTGGCTGCTACACTCTCCGAAGAGCGAAGGGGGTTCACAACATGGCCGACTCCAGAAAACCCTGGTTGCGCCAGGGTTGACCTTATCTTCACATTGGTAGACTTTAACTTCCGCCCGATCTGAGCTAGGGCGACGACGTCTATACATGTCCACTGCTCCCCGGCCAGGCCATGGTATACAGTCGGGGCGCTGACCTAAGGAACTCCTAAATAAGGAGCGAGGCCCCTTCGTCCCATCAGTTAAACTTCGATTTCGCATGGAACAACTCAGGACCCCCCGAGGCAAACTGCAAAACAATCAAGGAACACCGAGCCCCTCCCCAACGAAAAGGGTCCCTTCTTCAGCGCCCCAACTGTAGCGTAGAGAGCCTGACGGGCGGCAAGTGAGGCTAGGCTGAAGGAATGGAGACAGGGTAGGGGGATTGCGTGGCGCCGGCTGGCACTGACTGTACGTGGTCAGCGTGTCGCCGTTGCAACCTCCGTGCTGCCACAATGGCTGGCAAGAACGGTGGGAGTGCCTGCAGGAGCAGGCCAGCCGGGACAGGCCAGGTTGGCGAGAGCTGCGCTGGCTCGCCAAAGCTGCGGGCCGCCCCCGGCCACCGCCAGGGTGGCCAGCGGCGAGGCGCCCCCCCCCACGCTCGGCGGTGGACAGACCTCCCTTTCGTAAACCTCCCTTTAGTGCAGACGGCCTGGGACCGAAACCGACGGACCTGGACCCGCAGAAAGGACGGCCGCGACGCCCTCTCGCGAGCCGAAAACGGCCAATTCCTCGATCGACGTGTCAGGGTAGGAGGTCTGTCCACCTCCGACACTTAACGGGCGAAGAACGGTATAAAATAAACTTTTTCGCTGTCGGGGACACCTGCCCCAGGGCGGCTGGAAAGTTTATACCCTTACGGTGGCACCGTAGGGGTATAAACTTTCCAGCCGCCCAGGGGCAGGTGTCCCCGACGGCGAAAAAAAATATTGTATACCGTTCTTCGCTCGCTGAGACACACACACACACACACACACGCTCACACACACACACCGCCACTCCCCGCGCCTCGCCGCTGGCCACTCCCCGCCCCGCGGGGGCGGCGAGGCGCCAGCCGGGGACAAGAGAGAGGCGCGGCGGCGGCGCCGCAGGAAGCCCACGCCCGCCCGAAAGCGGGACGGCACGAGGGCCCTCCTCGCCCGCCGAGGCGGTGGAGAAGGGCGCCCCCCCCCCTCGAGCGGGGCCCGGGGGCAGCGCCGGGGCCGTGCGCAGGCCAAGGGTGAAGTCGGGCCCGTCCCCCTCTACAAGGGTATTTTCGACGAAAAGTAAGAAATACCCCCAAAATGCGATTTAAATAAAGTCCAGAAATAGTCTGGGGACTATTTTTCGAGTATCTTTCGACCTTCTTGGGGTATGTTTGGTGTATTGTTTAAATTTTCCGTCGAAGATCCCCATGTAGGGGGACAGGCCCGACATAAGCGAAGGAGACGCTGGCGCATTCCTGCAGCGGTGGCCCCGCGATCGGCGGCCATCGCTCCTTGCCACCGGAGCCCGCAGCGCTGCGGCAGCGGCGGGCAGGGGCGGTGGGAGCGGCTGCGCCGGGAGGGTCGGCAGCGGCAGCCGGGTGGCCAGCGGTTGTGATTGCCTCGCCTCCGCCACCCGCGCCGCCCGCCCATCTGCCGTCGCAAGTGTGGGCGGGACTCGGGACTGGGTTAGGTGGGCGAAGAAACAGCGGGACAGGCAAGAGGTGGACAGAGGGAGTGTGGCGCATGCGTGACAGGCCGGAGGTGACAAGAAGTGGGGCAGGCTGACGGCTCCACTGGCCGCGGCAGCCGTGACCTGAACTACCCGTAGCCAGCTGGCATGCGGCGCCGCGGCCGCAGCCGCCCCGACTTTCGCCAGGGTGGCCAGCGGCGCGTCGCTCCCTGCGCCCCCCGCTGAAGTCCCCCCCCGCCCGCCCCGCCGCCACGCGAGTGGGAAGGAGTACGTTGGGTGGGCGAACGGCGGGGGAGGCAGTGTATAAGAGTGGAGGTGAGACATAAGGGAGTGAAGCTTGGGCAAGAGCTCTCTCAGAATTTGGTGGACAAATTGCTATTCGCGCTGTCGCCTCCGCGGCCCCGGCACAGAGTTGGTCATTAAGGCCACCACCAAGGAGGAGCATGAGAGCACTCTATCCACCGGTCTTGGAAGTAGGGGGTTCCGCCCATGCGGTCACATGCCATTGGTGTTATTACAGTGCGCCGGGTGATCAACAAACGTGGGTAAGACAGCCATGGCGGGTTGTGGAGCCTTGTTTGACCGTGGACCCGCTGCGTAGCATACCACGTTGTAGTTGTAGCCACCGTAGGTGCAGGTACCACGTCGGATAAACAATAGGTGCGAAAACCACGGCGGGTTTGGAGGTCTTCTGTTGCCGTGGGCCCAGAGACTTCGCGCCTCCTGAGGTTGCCACGGTCGCCGTTGGCTGGTGATGTGCCGTGTGCCGTAGGAGGAATTAGTCCAGCTGCTGCAGCATCTGTCGCACCAGTGAGCTCGGCGGTTTGGGTCAAGGATCGGGCAGAGCTCGGGGGGCGGCGTTGGGGCACCCCTGCAGAAAACAAAGCAGAAGTAAGAATCTGCGGTCGCCGGTAATACAAAGGGCGCGGGGAAAGAGCGACGCAGTGGCAAGCTTCTGCATGGCAGGTCGGCACGAGGGCGGCGTTCGCATCTTAGCCGTTCAGTTGTCGGTGGACGAGGGAATAGGTGGTGCCGCTCTGGCCAGGAGTGTTTAGCGCACACTGGGGTGGGCGCCGTGTTGACACCGATCACGCTGACGGCGTGCTCGCTGTGGGGTTGTTCACTTGCGATGCGGTTCCCCTGGGCTTCGGTCGGGCGCGGTCGCTGGTTGTGCTGGAAGGGGTGCCATCTTCCGCTTTGATGGAGTCCATGTTGTCGTAGCCGGGTCGTGCTCGTCCTCGTTCTCGCGAAGACCAGTCCTCGCGCGAGATGGTCGGAACCAGACATCGCGTCATGGCCAGCGTGGGAAGAATGGGTTGGTTTGTAGGGGATGAGGAGTCGATACGGGGGCCGGCTTGATAGGTACTTGTCGGGCATTCTGTGCTGGCTTGACCTGGTTGGTCCTCGGGCCAAGCCGCCTGTCGTCTGCAAGCTGGGCTGTGATAGTGCTCTGTGGTGTAGGGTGCGTCCGTTGGCTTGGCCTCCTGCGCGCATCGTGGCGGTGGGGGCTTG